AAAAATAGAGTCAATTAGCCCCGACAATAAATAAAAGTTGTCGCTCATATATGTATATACATATAGATATATACGTTATTGCTTTCTCTCTTTCCTTCGTGCCTTCTCCATATTTGTACGTGTACACATGTATACATGGGCGTAGATGTACACATGTATATGCGTGAAAGCTCTTGCGCACGTGCACACATATTGAACGGATTTCGCACACCACGGAGGTGGAGCAAATATACAGGACTGCAAACTGGCCAGTGGTTAGCTGGGGAGGAAGGAGTGGAAAGAACTGGAAACTACTGTAACGGGTTATAGGGACTACTATAAGGATCCATTCCTTCCGTCTTTCCTAACTAACCGAAGGCCAGATTAAGGCACGATGCAGGGAGAATCTCTTGACTCCTTTGGGTTCTTTTCAGGTCAGCAGGTGTAAACGTGTTGGGCTTCCGGCGCCGCCGGCGCTACTGGCCCTGAGGGTCTAAGTACCCAAATAACGGGACTTCCGGTCCCATATACCTCTCAGTTTGTGGTACTTGGAACCTAAAACCCCAAGATCTTGGTATTTGGACCCGTACGGTAGCTTACTGTAGCAAGCTAGGAAACCTCCTGTTGCAGTTGAGCCCCTCTTTGTGTGTTAGGCTTCTCCCGGTCCTTGTCAGATTTGCCACCCAAATCTGAGCGCCCAAGTGGTTTAGGGCTTAGGGTTTAGGCGCAGAGTAGCGACATGTGTACCTAGACCCTCCATCTACCCTCTATATATATATATATATATGTACCATGCACCCCTATGTAAGGGTAGTCGGAGGGGGATGGTAGACTTGAGCCCTTAGGTGGGTATTATTTGGGTCTATATGCGCATTTCAGCAAGCTTTGCAGTCTGCTGTCCTAAGGTTGACTGGGTCCACCTAGGGGCTGGGGTCCTTCAAGTGTTTTCTTAACATCTCGGCCACGGTTTGGGGTTTAGGGTTTGCGGCTGGTTTCCCTTAATTAAGAAGAATAGACTACATTTAGGGTTCTCCTGAAATCCCTAAACCCTAAACGCTGAACCCCAAACCCTACGTGCACGTTGGGCAGCTAGGCTTCCCAATTCCTCATCCCATACAATGGTGATTATGCTCCAAGGCTCCATTCCCTACCAGGACCTTCCTGTGATCTCTAATCTGTATTTACGGTAGATAGAGTGTCGATGGAGGGTCTAGGTATACGTGTATTTTCAACATGGCTCCTTCTCCTTTGTAGTTTGCCACCCAAAAGGGTGCCCGTTAACACGACAAACTTGAGCCGGACCAAAATGAGGAAGCACTGGGCTCCAGACAAACCCTGAACGGTTTAGTTGTAAACCCCCAAGCTCAGAAAACACGTGAAGCCAGACTCAGAACTCATAAGTCCAGCCATGAACACTAAACCCCGGAACCTAAATCCCTTGACTAACGCCTGAAATCGGAGCCCCCAAGCCCTGAAGACCTTAAGGCCCTAATCCCAAACCCCTCCAAAACCCTAAACCGTGGTTATCCTGTGGTTAAAACCCAAAACCCTAGGCATCCCAGTATACAAATATTTCCTACATTTGGTCCCAAAAGTCTGTAAAAGACATTACCTGCATTGGGCTATTTGGATCCTTAGGGTAATCCCTAAACCTTTTATGTCGTCTCGAGAGCCTAATGCCAGGCAGTGGATGCATCTTGTTGGCATTGCTGAGGCCAAGCCCAGAAATCTGAATTTCCTCTTATTGTATAATGTGTGGGCGGCGGGGCAGTTAATCTTAAAAGACCATTGGGGGGATGGCAAATTTTACTAGAATGGCAAGAACTGTTGTTAAAAGCTAAAACCTCAACCCTGCACCATTGTTTGGACCTGCATCAACGATTTTTCTCTCCGGGGGCAGAAGTGGTCAGACAATTGCGCTTGGGGGTGCGTATGTCTCGGTGCGAATTGGGGATGCATCAGGGGCTTCTACACAGTTTAGGTCTTAGCTTGTGTGGTAACCCTAGACACTAAGGCATGGCTGCTAGAGCTTGAGTCCTGGCTTACAGAAGCTGGGTTGCTGTTCAGGAACTGAAATTAAGTTACCAGAATGACATACATATAAACATATGTGTATATATATATATGATATAGGAATGCATATGGTTTCCCCAAAATAGTAACTTAATTTAGGTTCCTAAACAGCAACCCAGGAAGTGGTGGTCTATCAAATCCAGGCCTCCAGCTAAGTAGCATGCCCCAATGAGGGAGATAGGGTACATTGGGGTAATGGGAAAGAAGATGGAAACACTTGTTTAGGGTTTAATGAGAATCTTTCACGGTTGCCTTGAATCCCCATGTTAATTCTTTCTAAGATCCCCTTTCGGTGGTTAAGAGGGTTTACAAAGATCCTCCAAAGTGATGTTTATTGGGGTCATGTACAGGAACCCAGCCTTGTCCTGTCCAACGAGCAATCTTTAACCTGTGGCGGTACGTAACGTAGTTCGCCTTTAGCCTTAAAAAGGCTAGACTGATGAGCACAACGAATTCGAATACCTAAGCCCCAACGTCGGTTTTGGGCTTCCTAAACCCGAAGGCCTAAACCGCCCTAAACCCTGTATACCCATTGTGGTAACTTATATTTAGCTTCCATTATGTTATCTCTTCTGGGGGTCTAGATCCCTAAGCCCTAAATCCTCAACCCACCTTCTTTGGGGGATTGGGCAGGGATGATTTTGATGAACTCTTAGCTACCTAGACCCTCCAAAAAAGGAGAGTCTTTGGCTGCCATTCCCCACCCCAAAAAATGGAGTGGAGGTTAGGGTTTAGGGTTTGATTAGGTTTCAGGTTTTAGGGCTCAGGGTGTAGGGTTCACAGTTTAGGGTTCAGAGCATAGGCTTCGGTAGGGAAGGTTATACCCTGGATTATAGTGGATGCTGAACATCCTGCATGGGCCTAATTACCTTAAGCCATCGGAATTCTGGTATTACCGTTCTGCGGAGGTCGTGCAGGATTTCTCTATCAACAATAGAGTTCAGAACTCGGAGTTCTGCCGTGGATTCTAGGGCTGAGTATATTCCTTTCAGGCCTACTAGAGAAATCCACTCCCTCCTGCCCTAAGCCCTCAACACCCCTTCCTTTGTAGGCCTTTGTTTTTTTTTGGGGCTTACGGCCTAAAACACGAACTCGAGTCTGCAGTCGCTTCGGCGAAGCGACTGGCGTCGGCATCGATGCGGACGAGAAGGCTCGAAGCCAGACACAAGCTGGTCTGATGAATATACACCTCGCCCCAATCTTATTCATCCCGTAACGGTAAGCATTCCCAACATGTTATGGCACACCACATTAGGAATATGTAGCATCGAGGGTGGAGGGTGCAGGTTGAACATATTATGGGAAGGGGGGTTGGGTAGCGGCTCCTTCCTAAATCCCTTCACACAGAAGTAATTCTCCAGATGGTTTGCAGGCACTGCAAAGAGTGCCCTGAGGTTGTTTAGCACCATGCTAACTTGAACAGCCAGGACTTTTTGCGCGTGTACTGCGCATATCATTGAGATTCTGAAGCATACCATCATGATTGGCCATCATGATAGATACGGGAGGAAACCTGTATCAGGTAGCAAGTCAGCAAATGTGATTGCTAGCTTGTTAAGGAAATAGGCAAGATTGAAGTTGTTGCTGTAGTCTCAGCCAAGTCAGTGGAAACGCAGGCTAAGCTATGGGGTTCTCTGTGCTTGGTTATGTTTAAGGGCCGCTGATATCAGAAGCCTCTTTTTACGGGCCAGTTGCCTTGCCACAGCCCGGGCATACCTAGACCCTCCTCCTACCCTCTATTAGAGCCTAAGTACCTCCCATTAGGGACCATATATCTCCAATTAAGGGTACAAGGAGGGTCCTGGTAGACCTGACCATTCTGACTGAGTACAGAAATTCGGCCGTGGCTTGGAAGGAAGAACAACCAACCCCCAAAAATCCAAGTCTAAAGGGTGTTAGGGGTCGAGGGCTAATGGGGTTTAGGATTCAGGGCTAAGGATTTAGGATTTACTCTTGTAGGGGCTGACAGCTTACCTAGAGGGTCCGACTACCCCAACAGTAGGCTTTTAGGTACCCAAGACCATTCAGATTCTAGTATTTGGGGGTCTAACACCCTCACATTCGAGTACCTGGGCCCTTAAACACTATCCTTATCCCTATCCTTATAAGCCCCTTTATATCCCTACGTAACCCTAAATACCTCATATATCCTTACTATGGGGTGCCTGGAGCCTTAGGGAACACTAACTGCATTGGGTTTGAAACGTGCCCAAGCCTTCCCAAGGGCTAAGGGTCTAGGGTTTAGGAAACTTTTTGGCTAAACCTTAAACCCTAACCTCATCATAACAGACCGAAAAAAGAACGACATAGGAGCCATACTGGTTGATTTGATTTCGTTTGGGTTCCAAGGTAGCTTTGTGCTTTCTGGGCTTCTTTTTGGCAGGGTTGAGGGCTTAGAGGTTTGGCGATGAGGTTAGAGTTTAGCTAGAACTTAGGGGTTGAGGGTTTAGGGCAAATGAACGATGGTTCAAGGACTTCGGGATGGCGTGCGCTCCGGCAATAGCAATGCCCAGCCAAAGCCGTTTCTGGCCTTGGTGTGCTCAAGATTTTGGGGTTTTGTAGCACCTCCTTGTTAACTTGTAGATGCAGGGGCCATCCGTTTGTTTGGTTCAAGGCGCAGTCAACGCATTTCACCTTAGCCCGCCCGGAAGAAAGGCGCTACTGCCATTGTACCTGATTGGACTTACCTCAGGGCTGTACTACCAGGGTGTTGGTGAAGGTAAGGGCAGTGCCCCAATCTTGTTGGGATGCTGCCCCCATTGCTTGTGCGGCTAGGTGGGCATAGAGGGTAAAGCCAGGGGGGCCGATACACCTCCATTCAGGGTTATAAAGGGATATATAGGGACATGTATGACGTACAGGGGGGGGGGGTGAGGTATTCAGAGTGCCCAGTATGCTGTTTTTTTCACATGGTGCTAGGATCCTCCTAACAAAGTCCCTATAGCCCCTTCCTTGATTCCTTAGTGACCACCAGTTCGGAGATCCCCAAAACAAGATTCAACTGCAAAGCTCAGCCTGGAGGGAATGATCGAACGCAGCTTCCGAGAACCCTTAACCTCTCAACCCTGAAC